TCGCTCAACCCATCGCACCCGTAGTCGAGGCACAGGTCGACCCGTTTAGCGCCACTGTTGTGAGGGCTGGACTTATTGGCGGCGCCCGAGTGTTTGAAACGGCGGGTTTCAGAGACGCCGGTCAGCTCTTGGGCTCCGGCTCTCAGAGACGCATATTCCTCGCCCGACCCGTGGCTGCTGTCGATCAGCCGTCCGTTAATAACAGACCCGCCGGACGTTCATAAGGGGTTTGAGTGAGAGATAGGGAAACAAAATGATTGAATGTTTTGTTTTATTAGTTTAGGATTTGAAATGTTGTAGAAATGAACTGAAAATAAATTTGTAATGAAATTAATGATTAGTTTATTTTATTTTCAAGACGTGTTAATTAATGTTAATTTATTAAACATTTATTTTATAGCAAAAAATAGACAAGTACACAAAATTATTTTTAAAAATTAACAAATTCATGACTATTTATAATAAAATTATTAGAAAATTAATAAAATTAAATAGAAATTCATTAAAAGAAAAACAAAGTTATTATTGAGATATTTTTGAAAAATAAGATTATAATAAGATCATAATTAAAAAATTGTCTTGTGCAATTAGCAATATGTGTCTAAACTAATATTTTGTTCAGCTAGATCTTTTAAATCAATAGAAAGTTTAGTGAGTAAATAATTGTAGAAAAATTGATTTGAAAATTGTTTGAGTAAATGCCTGTAAGTATTAAAATCGTCATAAACATTCATCGCATCGACCGTCCAGTTGTGGATCAGCGCCTGTATGTCAGCACTTGTCGGTCGCTTTACTTGGAATTGATTCATCATATTAATCAGGGTATCGACGAGTGATTGAAACTTCTGGTTGGATATCGCGAAGTGGTTTCTCTTGGAAACCTCTTCCGAGCTATGAATTTACACAAAACCTATTAATAAACAATTTTTGAAACAAATATTTATTGACTTACATGTGGAAGTTTATGTCAAACATTTCGCACGCAATTAAACCAAAACTAAAAATATCGCATTTAGTGTTGTAATCGCCGCTAAATTTAACCTCTGGTGCCATATATTTCTCAGTGCCGGCGCCGCGAGTGTGACTCTGAGAGCCCGACTCGTCAAATACGGAGAGACCAAAGTCCGATATCTTGACGAACCAACCGTTGGGGTTGTGGCGGACGACCAGAATATTCTCGGGCTTTAAGTCCCGGTGAATGATCGGAGGCTCTGATGAATGCAAATACTCTAAGCCCTGGTTTACGTCCGAAAATATTTTCAAAAATAAGTAATATTCGGTTAAACTGATGGGTGTTTTAGCCGATTGTCTATTAAATGCATTTATTCTGGTGTCCAAAATGTTCCTCAAGTTATAGTCGCAGAATTGCATCTGAATGTAGACAAACTGATTGTCTTCAATCCATGCGCTCTTATACTCGATAATGGATTCATTGCTCAGTTTTGTCATTGTTTGAAATTCTTGAAACCCTTTATAGCGAACCGATTCTTCTATAGGATTATAAATAATATTAATTATAATTTTTGTATTTATAACTGTTATTAGCATTACTTTCAATGGATATCTTCTTCACGGCATAGAGTTTGCCGTCTGTGTTATTGACCACTTTATATACAGAGCCAAAGGCGCCGGCATTTATGGACTTCACCGACTTAAACGTGGTCTCAAACTTGCCATCGCAGGCGTAAACTAATTTTTTCTTATTTTCCAATAGTTTACTTTTAAATGATTTTTGTTTCGATGAAAATATACGCAAAACACTTGAAAACATATCAGTTTTGTCTTTGTGTTTGACATAGAGTTCGTGAGTGGACACGAGTCCATCGCTGTCCAGATCCAGGGCTTTATAAGTAATTTGTTTTTGCTTTAAATATTCAAAAAAGTTTGCAAATTGTGTTTTAATAAACTGTTTGTTATATTGATAAACAAACTCTTTCTCCACCAACAGTTCCAATGGATTCGCTCCGATTCGCTCCAAAAGCAAAACAATAAATATCCACCACTTTCTTAATGTTAAATTTCATGGGAGTCGCACAATATGAATAATACGTGGTATTTCTGGCGCCCACTTCCGCATCGACGGCACCGCAAAAATACACGCATTGATCACTTGTCAAGAAATAGCTGTTTAATTGATTGCTGCAGACTTTGATCACATCCTTTAATCCGGTGACAAATCTGGGCCCACGAGTGGTGTATTCGTGGCCTAGAATTCCGTACTCATTGCGACCCCAACTGTAGACCTGGCCATCGATGGTCACCGCATACGACGATTCAAAGCCTGCGAACACATATTTGATTTTCTGTTTGATGCCGTGTTTATTGCCTAACTTAAAAGGAGCCGATATATATTCAGTCGGTTTGCCGGACACCTGTCCGGAGCTGTTGTCACCCCATCCGTAGACCTTTCCATTTGACGTGAGGGCCAGCGAGTGATTTCTGCCGCAACTTATTTGCACGATATCCTCATTTTGCGGGAATAAAATCTCTTTAGGAGTGAGGAACTGCTCGTCATTGACGTCCCCTCTGCCCAACTGACCCCTATTGTTATGACCCCAACCTATAAGACTCCCCTTCGATGTCTGGGCGACCATAAAGTCATAGCCTTCGCTGAAATCGCAAATACCTTTAAATGATAGCTCTTTAATATGTTGCGGCTCTTTGACGGCACAGGTGTGGCCTAAACCCAGAAAACCGCAACTATTGGCGCCCAAACCGTACGCCTTGTCCTCTGTTGTGATTAATATGACGTTATTATCAAATTGTTTGTTGTTTTTGTTGAAATCGGCGAAAATATCAAACAATTTGGTTTTGGCCTTCAATTGTTTTGGTATGAATTCGCATATTTTAAAGTCATTTAAAACAACAGAAACTCTCGGTTTTTGCCGAGCAGTTGTCATGTCTGAGCGGCTAATTGTCTCCGATATTTTTGTTCACAAATATTAAGTAAATTGCAAACATGGTTTATATTGACCATCTTCTTACTGCTTATACAACACAAGTACAAAATTTAAATGTAAATTGATCAATATTTGGCAACAAAATATAATTGGTTTAATAATAATACTAATAATACAGAATTAAAATAATATTTAATGAGAAGTGAGTGACAAATGCACTAAATAACTATTTTTCTTATAATAATTTTAAATAAGCTAAAGTTTTGCTTTTATAACTTTCACTATTATCACTATACATGTTATAATTGGTTGTATTATTATATCACACGATATATTTAATTTTTATATTTATTCAAGTCATACGTTATTACCAATAGATACGATTATAACAATAATTTTGTACAATCGCTTAATATTAAAATTACAAAATAATACTTTCTAATAAGAATGTATTTAACATATAAGTTAATCATTGACCATGATCAGTGATTCACATGTCACAAGTTATATAACGTGAGTATAACGATCTAGGTTCTTATCAATTTGTTTGTTGTAAAACAAAAACACTCAAACTTACCTGAATTATTTTATAATTTGTTTAATATAAATACACACTTTTACTTTTTATTAAGTTAGTATACTGTATTATATTTAGTGTTTAACAAATTAAATTATTAACAGGGTAATTATCCTTAGCATTTTGCATTTCATGACCACTTTATATAATTGATAAGAACCCGGATATAATCGATATAAAACTTAATGCATTAATTTAATCAAATAAATTTAGTCGATAACCAAATAGTATTATGTATACGTGTTATAACATTTATAGTATTATTGTAGTTTTACAATAAAATTACAATATTTAAATCTTTACACTTAGATAAGAAATATTATATTTATTTTAGATTAATTACAAATTACAACAATTAAAAACAATTAAATAAAAAAATGTGAATGATCATGATTGCGGATCAATTGTGACACCAATCCAAGTCATGGCAACCAATGGCGGTATCATTAGAGCGGCGCTCACTTCATAGCAAAGGCCGGGAAAGTAATTCAAAGTCGACTCAAAGATAAACGTGAAGACTAGGGATGCGATCAGTGGTGACACCGACTCCAGAGTTGCCAATAGACTGAACACTTTACCCAATTCACCGGTTTTGACCAGTTTTGACAGCTTTGAACGGACGGCTATTGAGATCATACCCGACACCGAACCTAATAAAAAGTTATCAATGTCATTTTTACTTATAAAACTATTGTATAATTGATAACTGAATTATATTTTGATAATAAACTTTTGAAGTGTTTATATGTCTTAAAAGTATGTAAAATATATTTTCAATTTACATCAAAACTGATATTAAGTTATTGTAAGAAAATGCCTAATATTTGAGTTGTGTTTACTATAAGTTATACTTTAACTGTAAGAGATTTTACATTATTATGAGATTAGATTTGAAAACTGAATTTTCTTTTCACTTATTATTAATACAAAAACTATTTTCTTATGCAATCCTTTACTCTATTACTTGTTATAACAAATCATTACAAAAAACAACATTAATACTAGACTTTGTTTCCAGGGATAAAATGATAAGTTTTAGCGGCAATAAAATGGGGCAAAAAATAACACACAAACCGATGACAATCGCAATGTAGTAACCGATGGGGTGTTGATAAGAGCCTAGAATAATATATTTGAAAATGCTCGACAAAATGCCTNATGACAATCGCAATGTAGTAACCGATGGGGTGTTGATAAGAGCCTAGAATAATATATCTGAAAATGCTCGACAAAATGCCTAAAATGGCTATTTGTGTGTCCATTAGCCCGAGTTTGACCACAAAGAGTGGCACCAAAGCTGTCATCAAAACGCTGTGCACTATTGAGCTGATGGAGTGAACGGTGGAGTACTCGGCCGGCGACCAGTGGTACACCTTTTCCGAGTACTGGAACTGTGTTCTCATTGCGGCCGACAATGTCATCATCATTACACACATTGTCATAAACAGTAGCCATATCTGGAGGCGTCCGGAGTTGGCCCGCTTCTGGACGCAACACTTCCACATCTCTTTCACATTCTTCACGTTAAACAACAGATAATACCTGTAAATAACAATTAGTATTATTACTAAAATAGTGTTACTTAAAGTCTATGACTACCATTTATGAGTTGTATTTGGCAGACAATCAGTTTCCGGATCTATTGGATCAGCTGTAGACTTGTTGGCGTTGGTGTCGACGCTTTCATTATCTACCAGCGTCTGCCTATCGTCGGCACCGATTTGTTGGCCTACAGTCTCGTTGATTAAAACCAATACCAGTACTAATGAGATGACGTGCAGTGATATACTGATGGCAATGATTGTAATATAATTGTGTAATTGGCCGCCGGGACTGTCGGGCGTATTCATCAATACCTGTCCGCCCACGTATGTGCCCAATGGACTCCCTTAACACGTAATCGCAGTCATTGTATATGAGTTTTAACTTAAATAGTAATTATTTATTTAATTATTAATACAATGATTGCGAAACGTATGGCACGAAACCTCTCCTCCGTATGCACTGAAACGTATGACTGAATGGTAGATATAAATGATAATTAAATTGTGGATCAATTAAAGTGATTATATACATTTGCAGACATGCCTTACATAGACGGCCATAATTGAAGCGGCAAATCCTCCCGGAAGTATAGATGTCAGTGAATTCAATCTATTCTTTGAGTAATACCCGAATTGAAAACCACTTTTAAAATAAGTGAGAAAATTTTGTTTTGATTTTGAGTTTCGTTAATATTTGTAGGACTGGATGCCGGTGTGCCGGTTGATCTTCACTTTTTAACCACTATTCTGATAGGAATAATGTGGTTTATAGGATCGTTCGGCTACCCCTCCTCCCCTCCCCCCAGCCCCCCGCTCTATGGGATTTAACAT